GGGCAGGTGAGGGAGGAGAGTACTCTAAGAAAGGGAGGCAGGCCAGGTCAGGAATCAGGGAGGACCCACATGGACATTTGATCTGAGCAGGAGTCCAATTTTAAAAGGAAAAATGTAGATATGAAAAAAGGCAGTAGAAGAAAGGTCTTGTTCCTTTGGTAACCATTTTTCTAGCTCAGCCATTTGAGAAGGCTACAGAAGGACACTGCTTTTTGCTGGACAATGGCAGTCTCCCCAAGAGGGACTTTTGTTTCTAGGATCAGTGGTGATCAAAGACAGAAGGGGTAGCTCTCGTCTGGGCCTGGGTGCTTGAAAAGGCTGCTGAAACTGTGGAATATAAGGAGAGAAGGTTAACATCAATTTTGTTCCTGGTGGTATATGGGAATGCCACTGTGCCGATTAGAGTCTGTTGGAATTTAAAGTATTATCCTATCTTTAAATTAAAATAATAGCATGTGACAAAATCAAATTTGTCTCAATAAAATATAAATGAAGTCAAAAGTAGACACGACTTATAAACCGAAAGTTGTAATGAAAGACTTTTTTGGAATAAAAGAAAACTGTGTTCAGTGTCTCTTAATCTCTAATTGCTACAGCAGATATTTTGTTACTATTAAAGGGGTGTTCTACCCACATATTATGGGTGGTTTTCCAAGTAGTGACTGTAAAATGAGTGTCACTGGGACTTTTGTGTTGTAAAACTGCCCAAAGGAGCCCTGTGTTCAAGGAAAGGAGGGATTTAGCTAACTGCTTAGAGAAGGCTGGAGTGCTCTGAGGTATTTTTTGTTTTTTGGGTTTTTTTTGGTACCGGGGATCGAACTCAGGTCCTTGCACTTACGAGGCAGGCAGCGGAACCACTGAGCTAAATCCCTGGCCCTGAGGTTCTTGAATTATACCAGGAGCAAATGTTTGCTGCTGTCATTGTCTGCAGGAGCTTCCATTTTCAGTACCTACTCTTAGGCTGCGTCTTTTTCTCAGGACTTTTCTCAGTTCTCAGTTCAGATGAATGAAGAGGGCATCGCGTTTGCTCCTGTTGCTGCACAAGCAGAAAGTCAGGGGGGTTACAGTGTGAAGCCCCTGTATGAGCACCCACTATCTTCGCTCAAGAGTCCCTGCCACGTCTTCCCAGGCGGGCCACCAGACTCCGGAGCTGGCAGTGTTTGCTCCTCTTCTGTCTTTAATTCTGAAGGGCATCCAGAAGGAGATCTTTTCCCAATCTGTGTTTTCATCTGGCCACTTTTTTCAGAATATTCTGCCCTTTTCATGAATATAAATAAAATACTGAACGGAGCCTGGAGATCTTCCTTGTGCTGTGGAAGGAAGCCGAGTACTTAGGTCAGATGCCCAGGGCTCTGTTCAGTCAGAGCCTGAACAAGAAGACCCAGGAGAGGAAATGGTCCTGAGTATATTTTAGTGGCATTTGTACTGTTAAGTAAGTAGGTATTAGACAGCCTGATATCTCATACTTTGAGTTTTTCTATACTAAATCACAGGGTACCTTAGTATGTAAACCAACTGAAACATAATTTAGGAGCACATATGTATGCTATATATTTTCTTGTAACAGACATTTAGGTTTCAGCCAATCACAGGCAGCCAGCTGATCACCCCTTAGCCAGAGAAGGCAGAAGCCCACTGCTCATGCTGCTGGCCGAGGTCCCTGAACCCCTCCTGGTTCTGAGTGCTGTCTCATTCAAGAATTGTTCTTTGTTTGGATAAACTTGGTTGTATCGAATTTGTGTAAAGTTTTTCTTTTAACAGTACCACCCTGGTCCTCAGCCTAGTCGTTGACTGTGCGTGTGTGTGTGTGTGTGTGTGTGTGTGTGTGTGTGTGTGTGTGTCTACCAGATATTGTGGCTCCCTAGGCCCCACCCTCCCTATGATGGCAAATGTGACCTCCTTCCAGTGGATTCTGCCTGAGAGGAGGGCTGTGATTGAGGTAATCCTAGAGGGCCCCTCCCTCAATGCCAGTGCTGGGAACACTTGTTTCCCTTGGAGACCAGGACAGGGAAGGCACCTTGTCTGCTGTGTAGTAAGGTCCCTCTAAATCCCAGCTCACCTTTCTCTTCCGGCTTGAGCCTACAATAGTCCATGTGCCTCCTGCCAGCTTGAATTCTGCTCCTTGGCCTTCTGCTGACTTGAACTTGACACCCGCACTGAGACACTGGGAGCCACTAGCTGGGGTCTGCCTGTAGCTATTTCTGAGTTCTGAGCTCAGTTGGCTCCTCTCCAGGATGGCTCCCAGCCAATCGCCCTCTCCTGGGTGACATCTGAACCTGGATATCTCACCAGCCACTGCAGTCTCCTGTGTCCACTGGTCCGTTTCTCCGTGGAGGCCTCTGGGGTCACCAGTAGTCACTGTGTATCTATAGGTTTGGCCCACTGTTCCCACACCAGCTCTGGCAAAGAGCTCTGCTTGTTATCTCCCTCCTCTTCGTTGAAGTCTCTCTCTTCACTCTCCCAATGGACTTCGATTCTCACTTCAGATCCTTCCTAGGTCCTGGGCCTCCACTTCCCTTCCTCTTCTCCTTGTGCCACTATATTCCAATGTCAGGACACCAAATCTTGGAGAGGCTCTTTCTCAGCTGCTTACCACTCTGCTGTCTTCCCAGAAGTCCCTCACCTTCCTCTTCTTTTCTTCCTTTGAGCAAAATGTGCAAAATTCATAGGCTTAGGGGGCAGAGCTAAGTATGAATTCCACCCAAAAGTGACTTGGCTTCTCTGGGGCCGTTTCCTCCTTGGTAAAGAATGGGGACAAGGATTGCATGAGTCAAAGCATTAGCCTCAGGTAAGTCTGTTTATGAACTAGTTTTTTGGGGAAGATCAGTGCAGTAACTGATCAGACAGCCCCATTTGAATGAAAACCAGTATTGAACACTGCCAGTCTATATCAAGTAGACACACCAGGCTTAATAATAGAAGGGCGGGCACTTATTTTAGTATGCAGTCAGTCCTACTAAAGCTTAAATGGTTCTAAGAGTCACCATGCTATTTGAAATCATGTAGTAAAAACTACAGGGCTTAGCTGGGTATGGTGGCACGTACCTATAATCCCAGCACTGAGGGAGGCTGAGGCAGGAGGTTTGCAAGTTTGAGTCCCACCTGGGCAACTTAGTGAGACCTTGTCTCAAAACAAAAACAAAAACAAAAACAAAACAAAACAAAAAATCAAAAAACTGGGGACATAGCTCAGTGAGAAGGTTCTGGGTTCATTCACCTGTACTGCAAAACAAAATAAAACAGCCATAGGGCTTATGAACAAAAATGCATTAGAGGCATAACACCCAAGAAATTTGTCAGTGACACATTAAAAAAAAAAAACCAAACAAAAAACTAGGAACTTAATAGTAGCAGTAGCACAGTTTTACCTATGTTAAATAATTAAGAAATACATAACAAGCCAGGTGTGTTGGCACATGCCTATAATCTCAGCACTCTGGGAGGCTGAGGCAGAAGGACTGCAACTTTGAGCCCAGCTTGGGCAACTTAGTGAGACCCTGTCTTAGAATTTAAAAAAAGGAAAGGACTGAGGATATAGCTTGGTGAGAAGGCCGCAGGGTCAATCTCTGGCCCTGGAAAAAACAAAAACATTTCACTACAGCCCATGTGGCCCTTTCCCTGAGACCTGAGGTTTGCTTGTGGGAGCAGATGTTGGGAGAGTGGGTGTGGCTGTTGTGAAGTGGGGTCCGGGGGTTACCTGCAGTCAGATGGGACATGACCTGCGCATACCAGATGTGGACAGCTTGGTGTGTAACTCCTGGTAGATGCCTGTGGCTTTTGTATGTTTCTGTGTGGCCAGGTTTAACTGAGAGGAGTCTCTGCGTTCGTCTAGTGCTTCCCACCGATAGTCATGTGTAAGCAGACATAAAGAATTGATATCATGCTCACATCCTTCTGTCATTTGGTTCCTTTGGAACACGCTGCATTTTCTTTTTCTTTTTCTTTTTTTTTGTACCGGGGATCAAACTCAGGACTTTGCACTTTCAAGGCAGATGTGGCACCACTGAGCTAAATCCCTGGCCTAACGCTTCATTTTCAAAACAAGCAAGACAGCAGAACAGACTGTGTAGTGGCTTCCCGGAAAAGGCTGCCTTCCCCCAGGGAGTACTCAGAAGTGGAAATAAATGGAATCAATGTAAAACATACAGATCAAAAGTAGGATGCATAATATAAAATGCCTGTACTCTTTATATAGTGGTTACTGTGTTCTGAGTTGTTGGAGTTACTGTCAGATTGTGTGCAAATAGTGGGGTTGTGGTTGGTGGCGCTGTTCCTGCTCTTGGGTTCTCTGTACTGTGTTGTCCTTCCGTTAGCACAGGTGGGCCACCCGTGACCTTACGTGCAGACTGAACCTCGTGGGAGGTCAGTAAATAACTCCATGCCATATTTCTTGATCCACCCAAGATCTTTCAAAGATTTCCTGCTAATGGGCCCTATATTTTAAAAATCAATGTGATCACATTGATTTTACACATATTGTATGTATGTGAATACATACAATGCTGGGAGAACAGGGGTAGTCATATAATTCATGACTTTCACACGTGTGTTGGCTGAAAGGGCAGTAGAGTCAATAAGTAAACTTTACTGAAGGTGTATGAAATGCAGAAATTGCCCACACATTTTTGCTGTATGTGTGTATTAGAAGGAAAGGATCCTCAGCTTTCATCACACCCCTGAAGCAATTTTTGACCCTGATACCAAAAACTGCTGATTTAAAAAAATCCATGAAGTGTAGACTCACTGAGGTGGCTCAGAGGAAATCACAGCAGTCTGTGTTGTATTCCAGTACACTGATCTCATACAGGGGAGCTCTGGAAGCACTCCTGGATGCCACCTTCATTCCAGCACCAGCGTGGAGCTGGTGTGACCACTGTGACAACCTTGTGCACCATCTTTGATGTTTCCTCTAAATCAGTCACAGTGGTGAAGGATTTCCTTTCTAACAAGGGTATTCCTTTCAGCCGTGTATCTCACGCCCCTCTTGCTTTATTTTCCAGGTGGGAGCAGCGGGAGCTGCCCAATGGGCGCGTCTACTATGTTGACCACAATACCAAGACCACCACCTGGGAGCGGCCTCTTCCTCCAGGGTATGTAAGGCCTGAACGACTTCTCTGCTACTTCCTGCCACTGCCTTTTCTCTAGTTTACCCTGCTCTCCTCCTTTCTCTGGTATTTTTCCCTTCCTTCCAGTTTTCCCTTTTTACATTCTGTCTTTTCTTTCTTTTTTGCTTTCTCTCCACCTGCATTGTGTTGGGCACGACTGATGGCCATTGCTTTACCAAGTGGTATTCAAAGCTGGCAAGTCCTAAAAGAAGAGGGACTGGGAAAGCTTGTTGGGCTTTAGTGTCTTGAGTCTTCAGTCAGGTCATCATACAGAGACAGCCTTGTTAGGGCCACGTGTTCAGTTCCTTTCTTCTTATACTCTATGTTTGCTGCTGAACAAGAAGTAGCAGAGTATAGTGACATTTATCCTGTGTCATTGATTGCTTTTTCCATCCCGTTACCTTAATTCTGCTCTCATTTTTTAAGACAGACTGGAATTTTTAGAGAATCTGTAGGGAACAGGCTAGGGGCATAGAGACTTGTCTAGCCCACACTGAGCCCTGGGTTCAGTCCTGAGCACTCCAGAGGGGGGGAAAGGGTGTGGGGAGACTGGTAAAGAAAGAATGTTGATGCCTTTTGGTGCACACTGGCTCCACTCTGCCTAGAAAGACAGAGTCCTGCTCATTCAGCTGGGCTTGACGAGAACATAGCCAAGTTCTCCAAACCGAAGAGTGAGTAGCTTCCAGTGGGCCAGAGACTGTCCAAATGCAAGGACTAGGGGTTTGATGCCCTCTGCCAGGGACAGAACGTTCTTTCCAGGGTGTCTCCTGGTCCTAGGAGCTTTCAGAAGGAATGTGTTCTGCTTTCAGGAAAGAATCAGCCCTAACTAATGCAGCCCTGAAGGGCTCCTGCATAAAATATGAACACTTCGCCTCCTTAATTTGCAGAGGGGAGGTGTGTCGGAGATGGTGAGTCTCAGGAGAGCCCCTGTGTTGTTTGGTTCTGCTGTCAGGCGTGTGCCAGGCAGATACCACCTCACCTTCTGGCCCTGCAACTTTCCACGGATGGGGTGCTTTCAGCTTCAGTTTCCAGGAGAACGCTTGGGTTTTCCTTTTCTTCCTTCCCCGCCTGGGAATGGATCTCAGCATTTGTCATCACTAGGGCTCACTTTATTTTCTGCTTTGACTTGAAATTGAATGAAGTTATGAAGTTAAATGTAGACTTCCTGAGTTAAAAAAATAAACAGGCATTTTATTGGGGAGATGATGGAAATTTTCATACTGTTAGGGAAATTTTCAAGTATATGCAAAGTAGAGAGACTAGTATAATGAGTCCTCACATACTCAACACTCAGTTTCAGTAATTAAACAATTTGTGGCCAGTTTTGTTTCATTTGTATGAGGATTGGCTCACTATAAGGGCATGTGCACAAAACCTGGCCCTTTGCCTGCTTTTATAAATAAAGTTTTATTGGAACAGTTCATTTTTGTTTTGTGGTGCTGGGATGAAACCTAGGGCCTGTGCATGCTGGCAAGCACTCTACCACTCAACCACATCCCTAACCCTGCTTACTTTCTTTAGTGGCTGCTTTCGTACTTCAGTGGCAGGATTGAATCATTGCAACAGATACTATACAGCCTGCAAAGCCTAAAATATTGACTTTATAGTCCTTTCTAGAAACAGTTTGCCAGTTCTTGGTCTGTAACCCTCATCTACCCTCCCCCATGCTCTGATCTAGATTATTTTGAAGCATATCCCAAACATCATATCATCTATCTATATTTCAGTACATATTTCTAAGAAATGTTCTCACTAAAAATAAAACCACAAGTATCATTTATAGTATTTTCCTTCATACCATCAAATATCTCATCAATATCTGAATTTCTCTAAATGTGTCACAGACTAAACGTTGACCTCAGTGGTGCTGTGTCACATGTTTGTACTTAGTGTATTCACAACATGTGTGTTTGAAAGTAGCAGGAACTGTGCTGTTACTGGCTCTTAATTCTCTTGTCAGTAAGGTTTGTGGACTTTGATCTGAGAAATATTTTGATAGAATTAAAGGACTAAGTTGTAAGGCTGGCGGGGACTTGCTCTTAAGTATTGAGGTGGGGGGCCAGGGATTTAGCTCAGTGGTTTCGCCGCCTGCTGCACAAGTGGAAGGACCCCAGCTCGATCCCTGGTACCAAAAAAAAAAAGTATTGAGGTGGACACTAGCTGTCTTCTTTCCAGGATAGCTTAGTGTTCTTCTGGGAGGCGTCCCATCATAGCTTATTAGTTCTTCCTAAATTTTAGGCAAAGATCTTTGAGCCCCTGGCTCTTACTTCAGTATGTAATAGTAGGAAACCCAGAGAGAACACAGTAATTTGAATGTTTACGATTTTATCATTAATTAGTGGGAAAAGTCCATTTTGAGAGTGACCTTGAATCTACAGTTAAAGCCATTATCTCAGCAGACTCAGGGAGTGAAGTTGAGCCAAAGGGTTCGCTTTATCGTGGTCATCACCTTGTAGCAAACGTGTATGCAGGCAGTCATTTTATCCGGGAGCACAAACTCCTGGGCTGGCAGCTAAGGATGAGTGCAGCGTTGCTGTCTAGTCGCCCTTTAGCAGTGCTCAGGCCAGCGGGAAGCAGAGAGGAGCACTGTAGAGCACCAGGGTGAGGGGAGCCGCTAGAGGAAAGTAGACCAGGCTCTTGCAGGAAGAGCTGGACTCGAGCAAGAAGACGGTCAGGTGCCGGCATGCACAGGGGATGTGAAGGATGTTGGAGGTGCTGTGGGAGTGGGCGTGCAGGAGTAGAAGATTTGTGTGAAACAAAGATGCTCGAGTGTGTCCCGTGAGGCCTCGGGTTTGTGGGCGAAGGGCTGCTGGGCCTCCAGCCACTGCTCCGCTTCTAGGAATCTGTGGGAGCTTTTATCTGAAACAAAAGGTGGGATTTTGCCCCTCAGAAATTCACCAAGCAGAGGACTTCTAATGAAACCTATGGGTCGAGATGTCTTTATTTCTGTTTTTCCTGAAAACTCGCTAAAATGGCAATAAAGCTTCATAAAAAGAAGCATCAACCCTCAAAAATAAAGGAATGAAAAAGGACAAACAGCATGTGAGGGAGATGTTAATATATTTGTTGCTGGTAGATAAGTGGCAGAACCGAGGGAGCTGAAACCCAGGTCTGTGGTGCCGAGGTGCCCAGAGCAACACGGGGCTCTGGGCAGCCTCAGCGCATGGAGACGCTGCGGGGTGTGGGCGGAAGCGGGAACCTCTGTGCGGAGGGCAGTTAGGTTCCCAGCGTGTCAGCCATCACTGCCATCCCAGTGTCACGTGTGTGTCCCCGAACACACACACGCCCGCACACATGCAGCCACATGACTGCTGCTGACCCTGAGAAGCTCTTCAGAGAGCTGGACCAGCCTTGGGGACACAGACATAGCTGTAGAAAGAGATGAACTGCGAAGAGGGTAAGTGGGGATGTTGTACCGAGCCCTCAGGACGAGGACTGCAGGGTTGCATTTTGTTATGCTGGGGAAAGTGACCCTGCAAATAACTACAGATTGCAGTATTTGGGGACCTTCTAATGAGGTAGTTTAGCCTCTTCCTGGTCACTGTACAGTGAAGCCGTAGTCAGCAGCTCCATCCTAGCACACAGCATGTCAGCAGCTCACTTTTAAATGTGAATAATATTGCAAACATATACTAATAAAAAAGGAAAAATGTGAATGAATAACCAAAAAGCAGCAGACAGAAAAAAAAAAAAAAAGATAGTTCCTGAAAATAATATGGGGAGCTGGGAAAAAAAAAACTTCAGAGAACAAATTAAATTATAATTAATATCCTCAAAGATTTGGGAGAAAATATGACCTTGATGGAATAAGAACAGGAGAACTTTGAAATAAACCATGTGGGAAGCATTTAACATATATGACAGCAGGAATGAAAATTCAACACAGTGGTTGAAAGATAAGTTTGGAGAAGATGAGTTCTGGATATCCAGTATCTAAATAGTAGTTCCAGCAAAAAAGAACAGAGAAACAGGATAGGAAATGATCCAAAGACAAAATAAAATAAAAAAGAAAGTTGCCAGAAGTAAAGTATATAAAGTGTCTATATTTCAAGGGCCCATCTGAAAGCCCACCCAAGGGAATTTCAGTGCCAAGAGAAGATCTCAGAAACTCCCAGAGGGAGAAAAAAGTACACAGAAATGCTTGGCAATCACGAATGCCACAGCAGCCACAGAATGGAACAATCACAGTTGTGATGGAAAAAGATTTCCTCCCCCGAAATCAACGTTTAAATCATCTTTTATTAATTCAAATATTCAAATGTAAGGGTAGAAGTAAAGGCTCCTCAGATATGCAGGGTTTCAGAAAATAACTTTGGTGCCTCCTTTCTCAGAGGCTACTAGGTGATGCATTCCACCAAATGAGAGGAAGCTGAGAAGGAAGAAGCCACAGGATGCAGGGGCCCAGCTGCCAGGCCTGGGAGTGCCCAGCAGGCAGAGGCAGGGACACAGCTCAGGACACAGAGTGGAGCAGTGGTGATGTGGGTGTCCAGCTGGCCATGTTAGAGGACGGGACAGGAGAGAGGAGCTAAAGGATTAATGCCACTGAGAGGCTTCCTGTCCCGTCAGAGAAACAAGTCACAAAAATAGGTATCAAATTGATTTAAATAATGAAGGCGTTTATTGGCTCATACAACTGAAAATTCTAGATATAAATCCTGTTTTCAGAAAAAACTTGATCTAATGACTCAACAATCTTCCCAAGGAGCTTTCCTTCCTTCTCATCTTCTGCCCTGCCAGCCACTGGTCAGCTTCATAGTGAATTTGAATCAGGAGGTGAAATAGCCATAGATTCTTAAAAACCAAACAGAAGGAAACAAGGCAGTTCTTACTTTCTGAAACAAAACCCAAGAAGTTCTACAACTAGGAAATGTGTTTATTATAATATTCTTCCGCATCATAGTACAAACCCTAAATCGAACCATGATTTTCCTCTGTGTTGGAGGAAGAGGAGAGGAGATGGGAGTCTGTGTGGTAGGGGTTAACGTGACATAACCATCTTCTTAGTGGAAAGCCCATGAGTGACATGGACTATGGCCCAAGTAAAGAAGTAATGGAGTAGACATGTTATGTAGAAAAACGGGGGAGCGGGCCGGGGATTTAGCTCAGTAGTTCTGCTGCCTGCCTCACAAGCACAAGGATCCGAGTTCGATCCCCGGTAACCAAAAAAAAAAAAAAAAAAAAAAAAGGGAGGGGGGAGATGACTGTTTTTCTTTCTATTTATTTATTTTAAATTTTTATTTTTTTGAGACAGGGTCTCACTTTGTAGCCCAAGCTGGCCTCGAACTTGTGGGGATCTTCCTGCCTCAGCCTCTCGTGTGCTGGGATTACACGTGTGCATCACCATACCCAGCATCTGTTTTTCTTTGTATCCATTGTAGTCTTTGCATTTGAAAGCTATACCGTGATTTCTTTGATAATAAATGAAAATGACTAGAGAAATTCCAAGAAAGGTGGGATGGCTCCAGACTGTTGTGCGCCTTGAATGCTGACTAAAGGATTCTGGCTTAAGGGCAGGGGAAATCAAGGGGAGATTTTGAGCAGGCTCAGGACCTTGGGGCCAGTATAGTGTGGCCTCTGATGGTGGATTACAATCTGGACCAGAGCAGAGAGGTCAGCTCAGGGATGGCTGCAGTACTCCAGGGGGAAGAGGTGATAACAGATCTGGATGTAGTTACATCCTGGGGTCTGGGGAAGACTCAGGTGAGGAGAGAGCGAGCTGTGGTGTTCAGTTGCATGCACGGCACAGGTTACAAAGGTGAAAGGGTCTGGTAGACGCCAAGCACAATCTGGGTGCCGGCCCCGGGGCCCGGGAGCTGCTTAAGGAGAAGCCACTTCTAGGGCAGCTTTGAGTTTTAAAAGGGTTCTTGAAAAGGTGGCCAAGAAAGAATCAACCAGGAGGCTAATGCAGGACATGAGGGCAGGCTGCAGACCTCCGGCAGACAGTCATCATGTCAGCAGGAGATGGCATTGTGACAAGGGACAGAGGGGCAGGGCCTCTGCTCTGGGGCCTCCTGGGGCATCTGCATTAGCTTTCCTGAGTTTTTCAGCTCATGCCCACCAGTTTTCAAATTTATAATGGAAAATTTTAAGCATATACCAAATTTGAAAGAATAGTACAGTGAATCCCTTGTAACTCTGCTGGTTCTAACAATGAGTCAGTTTGTTTCATTTGACCTCCACTCTCAGGAGAGCTACTAATGGATTTTAAAGAAAACCCCAGACATCATATCCTTTGATCCATAAATACATCATATATGTCTCTAACACGAGGTTAAAAATATATATCCTACCCAACGAAATTACTACCATTTCCTTGCGTCATGTCATATCCAGCTATATCCCATTCTTCCCAGTTATCTTAAAAATATTTTTTTACCTGATTTGTTTGACTCATATCCAGTGCTTTTGGCTGATAGGTATCTTAAGTTTCTCTTGATCTGTAATTTTCCCTGCCTTTTCTTATTTTTATCAGACCATTTATTTCTTGAAGAACCTGGGTATTTGTCTTACAGAATTTTCTTTCTTTCTCTCTCTTTCTTTCTTTCTTTCTTTCTTTCTTTCTTTCTTTCTTTCTTTCTTTCTTTCTTTCTTTCTTTCTTGTTTCTGTTTCTGTTTCTCTTTTTTGAGACAGAGTCTTCCTATGTAGTTCAGGCTGGCCTTGAATTCACTACGTAGCCCAGGCTGGCCTTGAACTCGCAGTAATCCTCCTGCCTCAGTCTCCTGAGTGCTGGGACTACAGGCATGCGCCACCACACCTGGCTGTAGAATTTCTTATATTCAGGATGAGGCTGATTGTGATCTTGTGGGCTGTATGACCTGTTCTATCCTGTGTCTTTTCTGTAAACTGGTAACTAGACATGAAGGCTTGATTAGATTCAGAGTCACTTTAACATTAAGGTATAATCAGGGCTAGGGATGTAGCTCACTGGCGTCGCACCTGCCTGGCAAGTGCAAGGTCTTAAATTCGATTCCTAGTACTGGGAAAATAACCCCATTAAGGTATAATCTATAAACAGTGAGACACACGTTCCCAGGTGCTTAGTCACTGAGTTTTAACAACCCTCACTCATGCGACCCATACCTATCAAGATGTAGAAAACTTTCCATCATCCTAGAGATTTTTCCTTCCTACTTTCTTTTTATCACTTTTTCCCTGTGGTGTGAAAATGAAATTACTACACCTACCAAGCTGGGCTGAGGATTAATACCTTCTGTTCCAGCCCTGTCTTGCCTGGGTGGGGGCTGTTAGGACCAACTTTGGACAAACTGCTTCCTCACCAGGTAACATGCTGTTGTGTGGATCAACCCTTCTCATGACCATACAACTTGTTTTTGTTGGTGCCTTATATCACTCAGGAGTAACAAAAATTGGTATCCAAATTAGCTTAAATAATAAAGGAAATGTATTGGCTCATATAACTGAACATTAATTAGCTGTAAATCCTGATTTCAAGTAAATTCTGAACTAGGGACGCTACAGTATTACCAAGCAGCTGGCCTTCCACTTTTCTGCTCTGCCATCCACTGAGTCAGCTTCATACTGTACTTAGGTCCAAACTGGTAGCCAGTGGTTCCTAGAACTGTGTGCTTTCCCACTCATATCCAGTAAGGATGAGAGGCTATATTTTTTCCTAGCATTCCCAGCATTCCAACCCAAGTGGTGATATTCACCTTGATTGTCCCAGCATGAATCATATGCCCATTCCCAGTCTGGTCAGTCGGTCAGCTCTGGGGTTGGGAATGGAGTCAGCTTCCCAGAACTGCATGGATCCCGAGATGGAAATCAGGAGCTAATGGCAAGGAGGGGTGAGTTGCTGGCAAGGCAACCACAGATGTACCCCATCATCATCTGGGCCCCAGAAGCCTCTGTGACTGGGGCCTGCACCTCCCTGGGGTATCCAAGCCCCCGAGTCCCACTTTGCCCATCCTGAGATTTTTTTTCCCCTACATTTTGGGGGTAGGGTGGTCGCTATATTCACTCTGAGCTTAACGTTTGCAGCTGGGAAAAACGCACAGACCCCCGAGGGAGGTTTTACTACGTGGATCACAACACTCGGACCACCACCTGGCAGCGGCCAACAGCAGAGTATGTGCGGAACTACGAGCAGTGGCAGTCTCAGCGCAGTCAGCTGCAGGGGGCCATGCAGCACTTCAGCCAAAGATTCCTCTACCAGGTGAGAGGCGGGTGGCCTGGAGATTTTACTCATCACAGTGAAATTCCTCGAATTCCAGTGTCTCTGAGTAGCTCTGTGACCAGCCTCTGAAACTGTATTCTCCGTCTTTCTTCCAACACTGGCTTTCTTTTCTGCCCCTCCATTCAAGTCCGTTTTCTGGACTTGAAGCCTAAGGTCAGTTTTGCCTTTGCCTGCTCTGCACTCTCCAGATCACAGTAGTCACCCAGTCCTTCCCTCGTCTGTTGCTGCTATGGCGTTTCTTTTCTTTTTTATTAGTATATGTCTGCAATATGTAGTGCATATACTTGTCGTGGAGTATTGATACGTACACATTTTGCATCTTGACTCATTTTACTCCCTCCCGTTCCTACATTGTTTCTCTGGATCTTTACTCTCTAACAGTCTCAAGGATGAAGGGCCCGTAAAAGCTCATCTGCATCAGAAGTTGGCAATGAAAGCCCAGGGGCCAAACCAGTCCACCACCTGGTTTTGTAAATAAAGTTTTATTGGAACACAGGCATGGTTGGTAGTTTGTGAGTGAACTGTATCCCCTTTCATGCTACCACAATAGATCTTTTTTTTGCTATATAGCCCAGGTTAGCTTTGAACTTGTGATCCCCCCACCTCAGGCTTCTGAGCTCTGGGATTACAGGTGTGCGCTGCATGCCTAGATTCTCTGGCCCTTTCCAAAATTTGTTGACCCCTGATCTTGACCAAGCTCCTTCTATGCAATGCCTGTTTTTCCTCTGCCTCCTCCCATCTGAGTTGCCAAGGCAACCTCTGTGTCACTGTCCCTGTTGGCTGTCCTGGCCCAGTCTGTGCTGCCTCTCCCTGCCACAGCAGTCTTCATTTGTCACTGTCACTGCATCCTTTTCCTCGCTCAGGCCTTCTGTGGTCACCACCTACTGAATAATGATTCCGTTTTCTAGTCCAATATTCAGAGTGCCCTGCTCCCAAGTTAACTGTCTTCACGGCTTCCCATACCGTATCCCGTGAGGAACCCCCCCAGCCCCACCTCCTGGAGCCCTTGTCCTCTCGTAGCCTAGCCACACAGGCTCTTTAGCAGGGGGAAGCGGTGTTCTCAGCTGGAGCCCTGATTCTATATCTTAGGGTACCTTAAGCACAAAGGTTGTTTATGGGATCACACCAGCACAGATGGGGCCCTGTATTGCAGGTTGGAAGTATTTGGAGCTGGACCTCAATTTCTTACTTTTTTTTTTTGGTACCGGGGATCGAACTTGGGTCCTTGTGCTTGCGCAGCAGGGGGCAAAACCACTGAGCTAAATCCCTGGCCCAGGACCTCAATTTTAATCACGTGTTTAACCTTATTTCTATTTGAAATGAATTTTAATCCGACAACCCATTTCTCGATTGGATACCATCCTGGTTAGATGATCAGAAATTCCTTAATTCCACTAAATTAAATAGCAGTCATAGCTGGGCATGGTGGCACATGCCTATGATTCCAGCATGTAGGAGGCTGAGGCAGGAGGATTGCAAATTTTTTAAGGCCAGCCTGGACCATGTAATGAGCTCAAGCCTAGCTTGGACTTTCTAGTGAGATCCTGTCTCAAAAAAAAGTAGTAGTCATTTATCATCTTTGCCTTCCTTTGCAGCTCTTTTGCTGTTCCTCTGAAGCAGGAGCTCTACTGGTTACTGTAAGTCATGGTAGCATCTCCCTTAGCTAGCTCACCTCTTCTGTGAGGCTGACTGCTCATCGGAAAGTGGGGAAGCTGAGGAGAACCCCAGCTCCTTTATATGGATGAGGAGAAAATGTGATGTTTGCCACAGGAAGTTGCCTTCAAGGTTACCTGTCATGCCTGCCTACAGCCTGTGCCTTGGTGGTCGTACCCACTCTGTCACTGTGTTATGTCCTTATGCTGCCCTGGCCACCCCATGCACCAGAGCCTGGCATCCAGCTCTGGTCTGTTTCAAACATTGGATAGGATCTGGTCCTCTGCAATTCAGAGATTGTTCTTGAGCCAGGCCCCAAAGACTGTCTGGCATTTGTTTGGGGGGTCCTGTCTCCAAAACCGGGGGGATCTGGATTATCTTTCCTTAACCTGTCTGTCCTTTGGTTTAGAGACAAGGAAACAGCTTAGGGATTTTCCATGGATTTGTCTCTGTGATTATCCAACTTTGCTAAAAAAGTCTTGTGTCTGCTTGGTCTTTTTGGACCAGTCTTTCTTTTTCCCTGTTTCTCTCATTTTAGCAACGTCATTCCAGGCTGACAGAGGTATAACTTTGGCTTGGAGGGTTCCCTAGAAGTAAAAAATGAAGTGCAAAAACATTTTCATTCTGCATACTCTAAAATGGTTTTCTCAGCATAGCTGGAGATGTGGGCGGATTCTGCATGGTGGCGGGGATTACCTTTTCTCCATGAAACAAATCTTATGTTGAAAAATATGGTGGGAATCTTTTTTTGGTCTGGTCTCAATGTCTCTCTGTTGCTTTTCCTCCCCCTCTGCATTTGGTTTTCCCTGTTGTTTGCTGTGGTGCCATGTCCTGGTTACAAGTAAGAAGGGTTGCTTTCATACAGTTATTCTGGAGTTTGGCCTTGGCCCAGGGTTTGACTCGGAAGACTTAAGAGCTGATACTGTACTGGCGACTTCCCTGCCTTCTCCTCTTGCTAGGTTTAAACTGAGACCTTGTTCCTTGCCGAGCCACAGAGAACATGAAACATAGTTGGTAATGGGAGCCCAGGGAATCCCAGGTTGTGGGCGTCTGTTATTCCTTCCCACCCTCTGCTTCCACACACACCTTTCCCATGTTCTCTTAGGTTATTCTTCTCCTTGTTTCTGGCAGGTTTTCCTTTCCTGATGCCTAGTGTGCCTTTGTTGTTTGTGATCATTGTGTGTGTTATTATTTGTTTCACCCTGAGGTTTCCTTCTGACCCGTGTTCTTGCCACTGTGGATGCCAGCACAGTCACACACAGTGTACCACTGTGCCAGGACGTCACACAGCCTGCTGTTTCTGTGGCATCTCTGCATTTGTGTCTCTTTGTCCTTCCCTGATGGCTAAAGAGAAAGCTCAGGTCTGCAGGCCCAGCACAAATCCTTCTGTGGCTCCCAAGTGTGGACTTGAAATCCCTTGCATTGAATCCCGGGCACCCAGGTTTTGTTCTGAGTGCCTCGGTGCCCAGGGCAGGAGGGAGCTATGTCCACCTTCCCTCTGCAGCCTTTATGCCCTTCCCAGAACCTTTCCTGACCTCGGCTGTATTTGCTAGACGTTCTTTATTTCTGAGTTTGTATCTTAAAATATTGCTGAGACTTTGTGCGTCATCCCCGAGGGACTCGAACTCACATGAGCTCTCTGGCTTGTGGCCTGCACCGCAGATCTCCCAACTTGGGGGCATTCAGGAAAATGTTGCAGCCCCACTCCTTTTCATTCCTAAGCATAAAAGATGCCATCTTGTGTCTTAGGGTGACCCGTGCACCCCAGGATCTCTTCTGGCTGAGACTCTCCTTGCCCTCTGTGCTTTTCCTGCTCTGTTCCCCGTGATGCTCTGGGCTAGAAGAGAAGAAGAAATTGGCTGGCTTGTTGGCGGTGTGGAATTTTTGGCTTTTTGTTTTCTGGCCATGATGTGTTGCTTGTATTTTTTGTTTCTCTTTGGCTACTGTTTACTTCCTTCTTATAGCTTTTCTTATTTTTCAAGTTGTACTATGTACTTCAGGGAAGAAATATCCAAAATAGTCAAGTGCTTTGCTTTAACTATAAGAAGTAAAAATCATATGAATGTGCAATTCTGTTGATTCTGATACTGTGTGTTATTTGTGTTTTTTTTTCTTTTGGTACCGGGGATCGAACTCAGGTCCTTGCATTTGTGAGGCAAGCGACGGAACCACTAAGCTAAACCCCCAGCCCTGTTATTTCTGTTTATCAATCTCTTGTCTTTCCCTCTCCTATCTGCTGCCTCTTTTCTGCCCTTCTGACAGGTTGTGTGTGTGTGGGGGTGTGAATGAAGTTCTGTTATGATAAGAATGGGAAGGTACCCCATTTTACCAAAAGAAGGTCAACACTGTGTGAAGTTAGAGGTATTAAAAAGTAAAAGCAATAACCAGTGTGGTGACATATACCTGTAACCCTAGCACTTAAGGGGGCTGAGGCAGGAGGATCACAAGTTCAAAGCCCAGACTAGACAACCTAATGACTTAGAAAGATCTTGTCTCAAAATAAAAAATATAAAAAGGCTTGGGGATGTAGCTGACTGCTAAGGCCCTGGGTTCAATTCAATTCCCAGTACAAAAAACAAAACAAAACAAAAGGCAGTGATTAAGAACTGGATGATACTGTGGATGTGGTGGCACACGCCCAGCTACTCGGGAGGGTGTTCAAGACCAGCTTGGGCAAAATAGTGAGATCCTGTGTCAAAAAAAAAAAAAAAAAAAGAGAAAAGAAAAGAAAAAGAAAGAAAGAAAAAGATTGATAAATATTTTTGTTTCAGATCAATGCTGTCAATAAAGACCTTTGGTCTATTGATTTGCACAGCTAAGTAGAGAGGCCCACTTGGTTGGTAGCTGATTTCTACCAAAGTCCCTAGACACTTTATAGATTGTCCGCTCTAAAAAGAGGCCTGGAGCAGCAGACCCTTGCGTACCAAATACCTCTTTTTTGTTTTGTTTTGTTTTTTGAGACAGGGTCTCGCTATGTAGTTCAGGCTGGCCTTGAACTCACTATGTAGCCCAGCTTGGCCTCCAACTCATGGCAATCCTCCTGCCTCAGCCTTCTGAGTGCTGGGATTACAGGCATGTGCCACCATGCCTGGCTTCTTTTTAATTTCTAAAATTACCCTTTGCAAAGTTATAGCTATAGCTCAGAACTTAGCAATGGGATTGTATTTGGCTTTATTTTCTGAAATAGATATGTCTTCATGTTCATTCCTCCGCTTCTGATGCCAAGTGTTTTTTTAGTGACCGTCCTGTATTAGAACAAATGTTGCCCCAGCTCATCCTGTACCCCTCCTACACATAAAAACACACACCAGAACGACTACTTTGAGTCCAGGTGATGTGTTTCAGCAAGGGGCAGCTCGGAATTGTGATGCAGATTGTAAGCACATGACTGGCAGTGATAGCCCCAGGTCGAGGCCAGCTTCATGCAGCTTCAGTCCGTGGGGTAGGGGCCCCTGCTGAAAGGGGCTCTGTCCCATCGAGGAACCTATGGTTTAGACTTAAACGTCTTTGTTGAAACTTGCTTGGAAGCAGCACTCGCGTTGCCACCTTAGAAAGTTCCTGTGTCCCTTGCTGGGGCGGTGGTGGGAGCGCTGTGAAAGGGGGCTCGCTGGCGGCAGTGGGGCTCCGCCAGTGTTTGCTCAGGGCGAGACTGAGCTCCATTCATCCTCCTGCCCGTGTGTGGCTCTGTTGCCTGGCAGCCTGAAGTCTGCATTTAGAACTTGATCCCATAATATAATGATTAAATTTTAGTAAGTGAAATAAAAATGCTTTCAGAGGAAGAAAAAAAAAAGCGGGAAAGAGCGAGCAGAACAATACTTGTTTTATTTAACCACGAAAACTTTTTGACAGCACCCCTTCCCCAAAGGATGCAAGACCTCTCTGTCCCCTGCAGCCCTTCCCTGGGGACCTCGAAGCGGAATTAGGTGGTGGTGGGGGCGCCGTTAATGTAAGCAGAGCCCTGAAGTCCTGCAGCCGGTCCCCCTTCCTTCTCCCCCTCCCCTCCCCGCCCCACCCCCACCTCCCCAGACAGGCAGACACAGAGCACAGAGCAAGTTCAGGTTCAGGCCGGGGAGAATAAAGGTGCTTTGTGAAGGGGAAGGAAAACATTCCTGGGGGAGGTGAGGGGCTTGGGCCTGAATGTGCCCTCAGTCTGGTGGGAGAGCGGCGGGCGGCGGGCGGTGGGGGCCAGTGGTGAGGTGGAGGGAGGAGGACCGGGCCCAGCCAGGAAGCTCGGGCGTGGGCAGGGCTTGTGGGAATGATTTCATTGGAAAGGCCTGCGATATTTTTTCCCTCCTGTGTGTGGTTCTTGGAGAAAGTTGGAGGTGGTGGTGATTTCAGTCGCCTTGGCTCTTTTGCGCAGGAGTGGAGCAGTGGCCATCGGGGAGCTTGCGGGGCAGCCCTGCTCCGAGCCCTCCTGTCCTGCCCTGTCCTGTCCTGCCCTGGGCGGCCGGCTCTGGCCTCCGCAGCTCTGGCCACCTACTGCTGCGTACCTCTTCCTCCGCTCGCTCCACCCTTCCCAAAGCCCTCTTGGGTTCTCAGAGCAGAGCTCTCCTCTCTTCTCTTCTCCTCCTCTTCTCTTCTCTTCTCTTCTCTTCTCTTCTCTTCTCTTCTCTTCTCTTCTCTTCTCTTCTCTTCTCTTCTCTTCTCTTCTCTTCTCTTCTCTT